AGTATTGGTGGGTGTGTGGTAAGTTGAGTACCGGTGTTGGTGGTAGTGTGGTGAGTTTAGTACCGGTGTTGGTGGGCGTGTGGTGAGTTTAGTACCAGTCTTGGTGAGCTGTGTGGTGAGTTTTGTACCGGTGTTGGTAAGAAATGTGATGAGTTTAGTACCGGTGTTGGTGAGCCGCATGGTGAGTTTAGTACCAGTATTGGTGAGATTTGTGGTGAGTTTGGTACCGGTGTTGATGGGCTGTGTGGTGAGTTTAGTACCGGTGTTGGTAAGCTAATGATGAGTTTTTTACCGGTGTTGTTGAGCTGCATGGTTAGTTTAGTACCGGTGTTGGTCAGCTGTGTGCTGAGTTTAGTACCGGTGTTGGTGAACTGTGGAGTGAGTTTAATACCCGTGTTGGTGAGCCATGTGGTGTATTTAATACCGGTGTTGTTGAGGCACGTGGTGAGTTTCCTACCGGTGCTGGTGAGCCCCGTTGTGAGTATATTACCGGTGTTGGTCAGCTCTGTGGTGAGTTTAGTACTGGTGTTGGTGACCTGTGTCGTGATTTTAGTACTGGTGTTGGTGAGCTGTGGTGTGAGTTTAATACTAGTGTTGGTGAGCTGTGTGGTGAGTTTAGTAAAGGTGTTGGTGGTCGTGTGGTTGGTTCAGTACCAGTGTTGGTGGTCGTGTGGTGAGTTTAGTACCGGTGTTGGTGAGCTGTGTGCTGAGTTTAGTACCGGTGTTGGTGGTCATGTGGTGAGTGTTGTATCGGTCTTAGTGAGCTGTTTCGTGAGTTTAGTACCGGTGTTGGTAAGCTATGTGATGAGTTTAGTACCGGTGTTGGTGAGCCACATGGTGAGTTTATTGCCAGTGTTGGTGAGCTGTGTGGTGAATTCTATTCCAGTGTTGGTGAGCCACATGGTGAGTTTAGTACCAGTATTGGTTATCTGCGTGGTGTGTTTAGTACCAGTATTGGTGGGTGTGTGGTAAGTTGAGTACTGGTATTGTTGAGTCACGTGGTGAGTTTAATACTGGTGTTGGTGAGTCACGTGGTGAGTTTAATACCAGTGTTGGCACGCCGCGTGGTGAGTTTAGTACCGGTGTTAATGAGCTGTGTGGTGAGTTTAGTACCGGTGTTGGTAAGCCACCTGATGAGTTTAATATCGGTGTTGGTGAGCTGTATGGTGAGTTTAGTTCATGTGTTTGTGAGCTGTGTGGTGAGTTTAGTACCGATGTTGGTAAGCCACGTTATAAGTTTAGTATCGGTGTTGGTGAACTGTGTGGTGAGTTTAGTAACAGTGTTGGTGAGCTGTGTGGTGAGTTTAGTACCATTGTTGTTAAGCTACGTGAAGCGTTTAGTACCGGTGTTGGTGAGCCGTGTGGTGAGTTTATTACCGGTGTTGGTCATCTGTGTGGTTTGTTTAGTACCAGTTTTGGTTAGTTGTGCGGTGAGTTTAGTTCCGGTGTTGGTGGGCCAAGTGGTGAGTTTAATATCAGTGTTGTTGAGCCGTGTAGTGAGTTTTATACCGGTTTTGGTCAGTTGTGCAGTGAGTTTAGTACCGGTGTTGGTGAGCCGTGTCATGAGTTTAGTTCCGGTGTTGGTGAGCCTTGCGGTGAGTTTACTACCGTGTTGGTCAGCTGTGTGGTGTGTTTAGTACCAGTGTTGGTGCGCTGTGTGGTGAGTGTAGTAACGGTATTGGTGAGCTGTGTGGTGAGTTTAATACCGGTTTTAGTTAGCTGTGTGGTGAGTTTAGTACCGCTGTTGGTGAGATACGTGGTGAGTTTAATACCGGTGTTGGTTGGCTGTGCGGTGAGTTTAGTACCGGTGTTGGTTAGCCATGTGGTAAGTTTAGTACTGGTGTTGGTGAGCGGCATGGTGAGTTTAATACCGGCTTTGCTCTGCTGTGCGGTGAATTTAGTACCGGGTTGGTGAGCCTCGTAGTGAGTTTAGTACCGGTGTTGGTGAGCGTCGTGGTGAGTTTAGTACCAGTGTTAGTGAGCTGTGTGGTGAGTTTATTACCGGTAGTTGGTCAGCTGTGTGGTAAGTTTAATACCAGTGTTGGTGAGCCACGTGGAGAGTTTAGTTCCGATATTGGTGAGCTGTATGGTGAGTTTAGTAACGGTGTTGGTTAGCCACGTGGTGAGTTTAGTACCGGTGTTGGTGAGCCTAGTGGTGAGTTTAGTACTGGTGTTAGTGAGCTGTGTGGTAAGTTTAGTTCCGATGTTGGTGAGCTGTGTGCTGTTTAGATCCGGTGTTGTTGAGCTCTGTGGTGAGTTTGGGACTGGTGTTTGTGAGCTGTGTGGTGAGTTTAGTACCGGTGTTGGTGAGCTGTATGGTGTTTAGTACCAGTGTTGGTGAGCTGTGTGGTGATTTTATAACCAGTGTTGGTGAGCTGTGTGGTGAGTTTAGTACCGGTGTTGGTTAGCTTTGTGGTTATTTTAGTGCCAATGTTGGTGAGCTGCGTGGTCAGTTTAGTACCGGTGATCCTCGTGGTGAGTTTAGTACCAGTTTTCGTGAGCCAAGTGGTGAGTTTTATGCTGGTGTTGGTGAGCTACATGGTGAGTTTTGTACCGGTATTGGTGAGCCACGTGGTGAGTTTATTACCGGTGTTGGTCAGCTGTGTGGTGAGTTTAATACCAGTGTTGGTGAGCCACGTGGTGAGTTTAGTACCGATATTGGTGAGCTGTATGGTGAGTTTAGTAACGGTGTTGGTTAGCCACGTGGTGAGTTTATTACTGGTGTTGGTGAGCCTCGTGGTGAGTTTAGTACCGGTGTTAGTGAGCTGTGTGGTGAGTTTAGTACCGGTGTTGGTGGCCGTGTGGTGAATTTAGTACCGGTGTTGGTGAGCTGTGTGGTGAGTTTAGTACCAGTGTTGGTGAGCCACGTGGTAAGTTGAGTACCGGTATTGGTGAGCTGTGTGGCGAGTTTAATACCGGTGTTGGTGGTCATGTGGTGAGTTTAGCTCCAGTGTTAGTGAGCTGTGTGCTGCATTTAATACCGGGGTTGGTGGGCATGTGGTGAGTTTAATTCCGGTGTTGGTGATTTGCGTAGTGAGTTTATTATCGGTGTTGGTGGTCATGTGGCGAGTTTAGTACCGGTGTTGGTAAGCCACGTGATAAGTTTAGTAATGGTGTTGGTCAGCTGTGTAGTTAGTTTAGTACCGGTGTTGGTGAGGTGTGTGGTGAGTTTATTACAGGTATTGATGAGCTGTATGGTGAGTTTAATAACGGTGTTGGTGAGCCACGTGGTGAGTTTAGTACTGGTGTTGGTGAGCGTGTGGTGAGTTTAGTACCGGTGTTGGTGAGCGTGTGGTGAGTTTAGTACCAATAACCTACCTCCCCACCCACCCCCCAATAACCCCACCTACCCCCACCACCCCAGGCAGGTCATGTGAGTGAGCAAATCAGACTCAATTGACGCCTAAATGAGGCAGTAATTGATGCGCGCGAGGGATCAATGATGGCGCGCGTCCGTGATTCGTGGAGGCGGAGAGCAGCGGTGATGTTGCCGGTGCTGATGGTGATGTTGTTGGTGGTCGTGATGATGATACCGATGATGATGGTGGAGGTGGTGATGATGGTAATGGTTGTGATAGCGGTCGTGGTAATGTTGGTGATGGTTGTGATGGTGGTGGTGATGATGGTGATGGTTGTGACAGCGGTGTTGTTGGTCTTGGTGGTGATAATGGTAATGGATGTTATAGCGGTGATGATGATGTTGGTGGTGGTGGAGGTAATGGTGGTGGTGATGATGATGTTGCTGATGACGATGATGCTTATGTTGGTATCGCAGTGGTTGGCGCACTGCACTATGAACCGTTCGACCCGCGTTCGATTATCGCTCACGTCCAATGTCATTGGCGAATATCTGAACCAGTCCTGGTTGTCCCCGAGGTTGAATCAACCTTAGAAATTAGTACCTAGTGCGGTGTGTAGTTAACGTCAGCACTGGGGAAACAAAGGCTGCCGGGCAATGTTCTGGGCACCCACTCCCTCGTGTGCCATGCCGGCCTTCATAGGTGCTCGCCAACAGCACTTTCCCCAAACGTTTGTTGAGACTATACGGACGATCTCGGTCTTTGTGGCGATTGGAGTGATGGTGACTGGGGTCATATAAGTGATAATTGTAGCTATGATGGCGATAACAAGGTGGTTAGGGTTCATGTTGAAGTTCAAGTTCTTTAAGCAGGTGGGAAATCGAGAGAGAAGGTAAGTGAGTAAGGGAATGTGTGACTGAAGGAATGAGTGAGTGAGATTGTGAGTGAATGAATGTATGAGTGAAATGGTGGGTGGGTGGGTAAATCATTGACTGAGACGATGAGTGAGTGAGCAGATGAGTGAGTTTAAGTGTCCAGTTAATTTTGTGTAACCAGGTGAGAGAACTCAAGACGTAATAATAGGAGTCTCATTTGTCTGAGTGAGTGAGTTATTGAGTGGGTGGGAGAGTGAGTGAGATGGTGAGTCAATGAATGGGTGAGTGAGATGGTGGGTGAGTGGGTAAATGATTGAGTGAGGTGACAGGATGGTGGTGATATGAATGATGGGTGTAGTGGTGGCGATGATTGTTGGTGATGGTGTTGATGACAGTGATGATAATGGTGATGATTTTGATGTTGATGTCGATCACAATGATGCTAACGACGGAATTGATAATGATGATTGTAATAATGGTGATCATGTAGATCATGAACATTTTGTAGATGATAATCATAATGATGATAACTAAGGTATGTAGAAATACAATAAAATTACCGAAAAAAACAATGAGTAATTTTATGCAGTCACGAAAGCTTTAATACATTATGATATCTAAGGTGTTGATCATGGCGATGATGATAATATTATCATCATGATCATCGTCATCATCAAGATGATGATGATCACAATGATGATATCGACAGCATTGATGATGGTAATAATGATGATCATGAAGGTCATGAGGATATTGCTGATGATGATGACAATATTGATGGTGATCATATCGGTGATGATAATGATGACGATGATAACGTTCACAGGTGGAAGAGATCCGCGGGGACATCGAGAAGGTGGCCGAGAATGTTCAGGAGGTGAAGAAGAAGCACAGCGCGATCCTGTCAGCACCCAACACGGACGAGAGTGAGTGGCCGGGGCCACCAGCCCATGGCACATCTCCCGGCGCGGCAGTCGAACCACAACTGGCCACGTGTCGTAACCAAACCACCCACCCACCCACCACACCTGCGTCTTCTAGTTGTTTTATCCCCCTCCACATTTCAACGTCACTACGCGCGTTTGGAGTATTTGGCCGCTGCTATAAATTCCCACGCGATGATGATGATGATGAGCCACTTCGTTGAGCTATCGTTTGTGATCGCCAGGTTGGATCTCCAAAAGAGCTGTATAGCAGCTCAGTGGGCCTCACCCGGTAAAATAATAATAATAGTTGCTATGGCTGCCTTTGTGCGATCATATCGCTCTCGGTGTGATTCTGTGGCTCTCTGTGCGATCCTATGGGTCGTTATTTGAGTCTGTTGGTCCCTGTTATGATCCCACGGGTTTCTGTGTTAGCCTCTTGGTCTCTGCAAGTTTCCGTGCTCCTCGCTGTGACTCTGTGAACCTCGGTGCGATCGGCTAGCCTCGGCGGTTGACGGTGAACCCCGAGGGAGCTATCGTCTGGCGAAATATTTGGAGTTTGCATGTTCTCCCCGTGATCACCTTGATTTTTACTCCGGGTCCTTCGGGTTTTCCTTCCACATTCAGAATCGCCACGCGTTTAGAGTATTTGGCTGCTATGTATTTCCATACGGTCATAAGCCACGTCGTTGAGCTGTCATTCGTGATACCCAGGTCGCTTCTGAAAAAAAGAGGCTATATTGCAGTTCAGTGGGGCCTTTCCTGGAAATAGATATATGTGTAAAAACCTTTTTTTCTTATTAAATAGTGTAATACAGTAGTTTAATAGCCCTACGGGCGTCGGTCATTCACACCAAACCCAGTGGCCACGTGTGCCCGACGTGGTGCCTGGGGTCTCACCACCAGGCCGTGGGCTTCTGCGCAGTTGCACCGCCTGCACACTCGGCATCCGCACCGCTGGGTTCGTATTGAATGGCCTTTTTTTTCATACTCTTTGGTTTTTTTCGGTGAAGTCACGTGTTGCGCCCGAAACGTCGTGGTTTAATTTATTTTAATTTTTTTACCCACGTGACTTTACCGAAATAACCAGAGAGTATGAATCCTTGCAGTCACGAAAACTTCAAATCTATAACTTTTTTTTCGTTCTTTGAATTACAACGCCCTTTATATTTAAACAACGCCGGATTGAAGGAGGTTTGTTTATTCATAGGTAGAGAGCGAGAGGAGAGAGGCAGTCATAGACAGAGCAGGAGAGGAGGGTCTGGACTTGAACATGACCAAGGGAGTCGACAGCACGGATGGCTGGGGGAAGAGAGAGCTCCAGACCGTCGATGGGGGGGGGGGGGGGGGTGAGCGACCTCCCACTGAGCTAAGATTTATTGTTCGTTGTGTCTTGAAAGGCTGACTGGAGGGGCTTCGGGTAAGTTGAGAGGTAGGAGAGCGCGCGGAGGGGAGGAGAGTGAGATGAGAGAGGATGTGTTCAGAAAATGAACATTTCCACCCCCTCGTGTGCCGTGGCGGCCTTCATAGATGCGCGCTAACAGCACTTACCCCCAACAGTCTGTCCGGGCTATACGGGGGAGCTTTGTCTTTGGTGAAGACGGTGATGGTTTTATTGGCCCCCTGGGTCTCGGGACTCCGTTCCAGGAGAGTGTCCACAACGCTGGGATGTCTGGCCAACTCCTTGTTACCCAGTTCACTCCCTTTGTACCACGCTCCGGGCCGTGGTGGTGGTGATGATGATGGTGATGATGGTGGTGGTGATGGTAGTGGTGATGATGGCAATGGTGGCAATGGTGGTGGTGGTGGTGATGGTGATGGTAGTGGTAATGGTGATGGTGATGGCTATGGTGGGCGTGATGATAATTATGGTGGGCGTGATGGTGGTGATGGTGGTTATGGTGGCGGTGGTGGTGATTATGGTGGCCGTGATGGTGGCCGTGATGGTGATGATGATGACGGTGGTGATTCACGTCTCTGCTGCTCGGGTTGCGGGTCGCGGTGTTTATTCCGCGCACGTCGCGAGTCTCGGTGACCCCTCCCCCACCCTGCCCATCCCGCCCCCCACCTGCCCCCTACCCCTCCCCCCGCCCCCCTGCCCCGCCATCCCCCCCTGCCCCTCCCCCCCCCAACTCCCTCTCTCCTCCCTCCCTTCCTGCATCAGTGGCTCCTTGCATCAATGATTCTCCGCCTACCGCTGCTGATGCACAATCCCTGACGATTCCCTGCTGCAGTCCGCCGCCTGTGTGTGCCCCCCGTCACTCTCACCCCGTCACTCTCACCCCGTCACTCTCACTCCGTCACTCTCACTCCGTCACTCTCACCCCGTCACTCTCACCCCGTCACTCTCCGTCACTCTCACCCCGTCACTCTCACTCCGTCACTCTCACTCCGTCACTCTCACCCCGTCACTCTCACCCCGTCACTCTCCGTCACTCTCACCCCGTCACTCTCACTCCGTCACTCTCACTCCGTCACTCTCACCCCGTCCCTCCGTCACTCTCACCCCGTCACTCTCACCCCGTCACTCTAACCCCGTCACTCTCACCCCGTCACTCTCACTCCGTCACTCTCACCCCGTCACTCTCACTCCGTCACTCTCACCCCGTCACTCTCACTCCGTCACTCTCACCCCGTCACTCTCCGTCACTCTCACCCCGTCACTCTCCGTCACTCTCACCCCGTTACTCTCACCCCGTCACTCTCACCCCGTCACTCTCACCTCGTCACTCTCACCCCGTCACTCTCACTCCGTCACTCTCACCCCGTCACTCTCACCCCGTCACTCTCCGTCACTCTCACCCCGTCACTCTCCGTCACTCTCACCCCGTCACTCTCACCCCGTCACTCTCACCCCGTCACTCTCACCCCGTCACTCTCCGTCACTCTCACCCCGTCACTCTCACCCCGTCACTCTCACTCCGTCACTCTCACTCCGTCACTCTCACCCCGTCACTCTCCGTCACTCTCACCCCGTCACTCTCACCCCGTCACTCTCCGTCACTCTCACCCCGTCACTCTCACCCCGTCACTCTCCGTCACTCTCACCCCGTCACTCTCCGTCACTCTCACCCCGTCACTCTCACCCCGTCACTCTCACCCTGTCACTCTCACCCCGTCACTCTCACCCCGTCACTCTCACCCCGTCACTCTCACCCCGTCACTCTCACTCCGTCACTCTCACCCCGTCACTCTCACCCCGTCACTCTCACCCCGTCACTCTCACTCCGTCACTCTCACCCCGTCACTCTCACCCCGTCACTCTCACCCCGTCACTCTCACCCCGTCACTCTCACCCCGTCACTCTCACCCCGTCACTCTCACCCCGTCACTCTCCGTCACTCTCACCCCGTCACTCTCACCCCGTCACTCTCCGTCACTCTCACCCCGTCACTCTCCGTCACTCTCACCCCGTCACTCTCACCCCGTCACTCTCACCCCGTCACTCTCACCCCGTCACTCTCACTCCGTCACTCTCACCCCGTCACTCTCACCCCGTCACTCTCACCCCGTCACTCTCACCCCGTCACTCTCACCCCGTCACTCTCACCCCGTCACTCTCACCCCGTCACTCTCACCTCGTCACTCTCACCCCGTCACTCTCACCCCGTCACTCTCACCCCGTCACTCTCACCTCGTCACTCTCACCCCGTCACTCTCACCCCGTCACTCTCACCCCGTCACTCTCACCCCGTCACTCTCACTCCGTCACTCTCACTCCGTCACTCTCACCCCGTCACTCTCACCCCGTCACTCTCACTCCGTCACTCTCACCCCGTCACTCTCACCCCGTCACTCTCACCCCGTCACTCTCACCCCGTCACTCTCACCCCGTCACTCTCACCCCGTCACTCTCACCCCGTCACTCTCACCCCGTCACTCTCACCCCGTCACTCTCACCCCGTCACTCTCACCCCGTCACTCTCACCCCGTCACTCTCACCCCGTCACTCTCACCCCGTCACTCTCACCCCGTCACTCTCACCCCGTCACTCTCACCTCGTCACTCTCACCCCGTCACTCTCACCCCGTCACTCTCACCCCGTCACTCTCACCCCGTCACTCTCACCCCGTCACTCTTACTCCGTCACTCTCACTCCGTCACTCTCACCCCGTCACTCTCACCCCGTCACTCTCACTCCGTCACTCTCACCCCGTCACTCTCACCCCGTCACTCTCACCCCGTCACTCTCACCCCGTCACTCTCACCTCGTCACTCTCACCCCGTCACTCTCACCCCGTCACTCTCACCCCGTCACTCTCACCCCGTCACTCTCACCCCGTCACTCTCACTCCGTCACTCTCACTCCGTCACTCTCACCCCGTCACTCTCACCCCGTCACTCTCCGTCACTCTCACCCCGTCACTCTCACCCCGTCACTCTCACCCCGTCACTCTCACCCCGTCACTCTCACCCCGTCACTCTCCATCACTCTCACCCCGTCACTCTCACCCCGTCACTCTCACCCCGTCACTCTCACTCCGTCACTCTCACCCCGTCACTCTCACCCCGTCACTCTCACCCCGTCACTCTCACCCCGTCACTCTCATCCCGTCACTCTCCGTCACTCTCAGCCCGTCACTCTCCGTCACTCTGACCCCGTCACTCTCACCCCGTCACTCTGACCCCGTCACTCTCACCCCGTCACTCTCACCCCGTCACTCTCCGTCACTCTCACCCCGTCACTCTCACCCGTCACTCTGACCCCGTCACTCTCACCCCGTCACTCTCACCCCGTCACTCTCTATCACTCTCACCCCGTCACTCTCACCCCGTCACTCTCCATCACTCTCACCCCGTCACTCTCACCCCGTCACTCTCCATCACTCTCACCCCGTCACTCTCACCCCGTCACTCTCCATCACTCTCACCCCGTCACTCTCACCCCGTCACTCTCACCCCGTCACTCTCACCCCGCCACTCTCACCCCGTCACTCTCACTCCGTCACTCTCCGTCACTCTCACCCCGTCACCCTCACCTCGTCACTCTCACCCCGTCACTC